CATAGCTCCTGGAGGGCTGGGAAGGCTTCCTGGAGGAGACGCTACAGAGCTATTTGGAAGGATGATGGGAGTTAGCCAGACCCAGAGCAGAGTGAGGGGTAGTCTCTGGACTGATAGAAAGAGTGTGAGTTAAGGCCTCTTTTCTAACCCTTGGTCTAATGCTCTTCTCACCCTCTCTTGTTTTGATTCAAAGGAAGAGAATTGAGTCTCATTCAATTCATTTTGTCTGTACCTTCCGCAGGGTTGACATGCAATCAGAGCACCTATGTATTCTCAGAGCCTACCATGCTGCCTGGCGCATAGAAAGAACTCAATAAATGTTGAGTGAAGGAACAATTCCCTGTAGAGATATAGGTCTCTACCCTCTCTTAGGAGTTTCAGCACCAGAGAACTGTTGCTTAAGAGATGTCAAACCCAAGAAAGACCCTGAGGTCATTTGTTTCCAGTAAGTGCATTATGATCGGACTCCACGGGGCAGGGACCCCCCACCGTCCAGGTGGGCCCTGTTGGCCAGTGTCCCACACCAAGGTACATGGAAGTTGGGAGGATGATTGGTGGGTCCCAGAGGCAGTGGATGACAATGCAGCCAGAATTTCGGAAACTAAAGGGTTAACAAAAACCACACCTCCCATGGGCCCCCCAGGGGGAGCCTGATCAAGCAGCCCATTCTGTGGAGTGCCGGCATTGATCTCTCAAGTCTGGCTTCCAGTCTCCAGAAATCTCAGGCAGGCCCCTTCCAGGATTCTGTTTTAAAGGGAAATGCAAATCACCTGGAGGCTGCTTCTTGCTTGGAAGAAGTAAAAATCGATTCTGTTTTCATTAAAGTGATTTTTGGACACTGTCAAAAGCTCTCTCATCTCAGGGCACGGGGTGACAGATAGGCTGCCGGTCTCAATTACATAACCAAGCCAACTGGGTAGCAGCGGGTAGTCTCATCAAGAGCAATACTGCTCCGAGCCCTTCCCAAGCCCAGTTCCCCCTCCCTAAGATATCCCAGGGCACCTCATCCCCGCCAGGCCTGGAGCTGGCCCTCAATTGCCCACACCTTGGATTCTTGCTCCCAAAGCTTCCCTCTCGCCTGCTGCCCTCTTCCCCACACGAGCATCACTCCCCAACTCAGGCAGTCCGCCCAAGGGTGATGCCAAGCAAAGTCAAAACAAAACTAAGGTAAATCTGCTTTGAAAAAGTCTATGGCATCTAACACATTCCAAAGGTAGATGTGTTGGTCTTATTGAATATTGGGAGTTCTGCATTATCCCTTCCCTCTGTTAAGATAATTGAGGATTTGTTTTATTTATAGCATCAATTATGAGCACGGAAATTAATCCTTTAATGGTGAATTTGGGAGCTCAACTGTCAAGGTGGCCCAAGGGAACCCTAGGTCGGGCATAGGGGTCCTTCCCACCAGCACAGGAGTCTGCAAAGAAAAGCCACCCTCAAGTTCTGGTGGCAGCTGGGCTGTTATTGTTCTATGTGCTTAAAATATTTTTAGAAATTAAATAAATGGGAATAATTGGTGCCAGGAGCTCCCTCCGTGGAGGACACCTGAGTAACTCATCAGCGGGTCCAGGGAAGGCAGGCAGAAGTGGCAACCAGAGCAGGAAGGAAGAGCAAACTGCTTGACTGGGCACGTCAGCCCTCGGCCAGGCAGACAGCTCTGCTCTGCAAAAGAGCTCAAGACAGTCTCCCCAGACTGGAAACAGGAAGTCAGGAAAGGTTTGGGTGGGGAGGGTCTGGAGACAGGAAGAACTAAGAGTCTGCTGGGTGTTGTTGGAAGCAACCAGACAGAACATGGAAAGTGGCAGAACATTGGCCCTTGGTATCGCCACAGACACTTGGGGCTCAAATGCCGGCAAAGAGCAAGCAAAAGACAGGCGTTTTGGATGGCTGAACAAGCCTACAACTAGCCAGTGAATATGCTTGGGACAGAAACCAGCCAGAGGAAAGGAAAGGTTTCCAGAGTCGGGTGGGTAAGACCTCCAATACGGACTGGAAGACTCCAGCAAGGCTGCAGAGCATCCCCTGGGGTGAACCAGACACCAGCTGAAGGCTGCCCTCCTCTCTTACTGGGGCCAGGGCTGGGGCAAACACAAATCTTGCGACCACCCTGGAGAGCAGACAGGAGGGTCTGGAAGGAGACTGAGAACAGTTTTAGAACAATAAATGGTAAAGGAGCCCCAATCACATTGACCCACCCATTTAAAAGTGTTTTGCCAACCACCTGCTCTGTGTAGCCAAGCAGTGAGCCTGGTAATGGTCCAAACTGCAACTCAGGTCAAAGTCAAAGTGGCCCAATCCACCACTGGGTGACACTGGCCAGGGTCGAGAGGAAGAAAAAGTCTGCTTTCCCATTACTTAACTGAGGTGAAGGAAGACACGACTAAAGGCTTCTTTTCTTGCCCATGAGTTTCTCCTCCCTGAGGCCAGACATCCTGATGCATGGGGAAGGGAAGGACCCATAGCGCCCGCAGTGCGGGGAGCCTGCTTCTCCCCACATGGGCATCTGCCCTTCCCCTTTGCCTTACTCTCTGGCAGAGTCCTCTTGCTTCGCCCCTCCCCCATCTCCCAAAAGTTAATGCGAGGCCACGACTGTCCACCTGCTAACACTGGACCTGACCTTGCTCTACAGAGTGAATGCGAAAGGAAGTCAGTGGTCTCCCCAGGGACAGTAAAACTCTGTTCCTGTCTATGAAAGCAGCCATTAATTTCCAAGGCAGAACTTAAACTGGCCAGAATGTAGTGTTTTATTAATAAATTCCCTGTGTGCCTGGTATGGTGCCTATAATGTTCACTGCACTAATGCTTTCTTTCTTGAATAGAGATCTGACTAGAATGGACTACGACACACTGAGGCCATAATAGGAAAAAAAATAACTCCGAAGGTCTGATTTCTACCTATGGGCCCTGATGGTCTGGGAACAAGTGGAGTGGGGAGTGAAAAGAGAAAGGGCACCGAAGACAGCCAAACTGGTATTTGAAACGCAGCACTGCCCCTTAGCAGCTGTGTGACTACAGACATTTACTTAACCTCTCTGAGCCTTGCCTGCTGCATCTTCAAAGTTGGATAGAATTTCTCCTACCTTGCAAGGCTGTTGTGAAGCTTTAAAGAGATAACATACAAAGTGCTCAGCACACGGCTGACACATGATAGACACACAAATGCTGTTAATCGACTAATAAAAAGTAATGGGCAGGTCGGTCCATTGATCTCCTCTGAAACAGTCCCATTTTAACCCTGACACCCATCTGTCTGCCCTATTTTCTCCCTATGACAGTCCTGAGGCCTCACTCTGGTGTCATGAGTCCCACCGAGGGGCACTTGAGGGCACTGGACAGTCAGAGCCACGTCAAAGCACGCCCGTGGCGGTCCTGGCCACAGGAGAGGTCCCCTTCGGGAAAGCAAAGGGGTGGCCAGGTTAGCACAAACGCAGCAAACATGCCTCCTCCTCCTGACGCGTGGCCAGCTCTCTGGCCCATTTTATCCCTAAATATCCCACTGTGCCAGGAAGCCACATCTGCCCCCTGGGCCAAGATAGACAACGTCAAATGACCAGACATTCTTGCCCACTCTGGGTGGAAGCAGGTATGTGAAGACTGTGCGTTACTGGAGAGGGAGAAAGGGGCAGGGTGGCCTCTGTCAGGCGAACAAGAGGTCAAGGGAACGCCCCCATCACATGTGGCCTTCCCAAATGGGCAATGACACCCCTTGCTCTCCCTCTTGCTACTCCCTCCCATGTGGCAGAATGACAAATGTAATCATTTTAAAAGGTCCCGTCACCTGCTCAGTCATTCCCAATAAGCACACGCAGCACTATGGAAAAACCGATACCAGCGCCACAGGGTTTCAGCCAGGAAAAAAAATCGAATCGCTAGGACGCCACCAACCGAATTGTCAAACACCAAATAAAAAGCTTCATGAATTCACCATCAGCAATGTAACGCTTCCTGGTCTAAGTAAATATAGACCCAGCTTATGAATTGGGAAGGGATTTTTGCACTAGCCTCAGTGACTTCCAACAGCAGAAGCAGCAACCCCTAAGAAATCCACGTCTCCATAAAGCTGCCTTCGTTGGCTCTAATCCTGTTAGGGTAGAGGTTGTAATCTCCTTCCTGAGCCCCCTTCCTCTGATGGAAAGCTTTGCATCCCAGCACCATGAATACATTTTGGTGACCTCAGCTAGAGAGGGGACCTCTGGGAGATGGAAGAGACAGAGTCACCCGTGACCTCGCCGAGCACCTCTCCCTCTCTCTCCTGATATTGCTGCTACTGTGTCTGACCACATGATCTATTCAGACCATCTCACAATAGCTCAGGTAGGTCAGATCATTCAATCAACAGAGCCAGGCTGAGAAAGCAAGCCTGCTGCTCCTTCAGTGAGAAAGAATAAATCAGGTGCCCCACTTTGCAGAAAACCCAAGTTCAGAGTCACTCAGAGGAAGTCTGCTCCAAGCTGCTGAACCCTTGAGCATTTGTGGCAGCAGAAAAGAAAAGTAAGGCAAAAGCTGAAACAGCCTGCACATACACTACAGAGAAGAAATACAGGAAGGATCCAAAAAAGCATGTTCTAGGTGTCTTCAGTTAATGGAAATAAGCATCCCCTTACAACACTCACTGAACTTCTCACAGCCTTCTTCCTTCCTACTGCCTTGTCTTCCTCCCCATGGCAGCCCTTACAAGCACAGATGCAGATAAGAAGACAGCAATCACCACTCCCCCCTCCCCCACCACACACACACACAGAATGCATGGCTGAAAAAAGAAATGGTGACAAGTTTCCCTGTTTTACAAAACACACACCCCACCCCTAAAAGAAAACTCGGAGCAATCTGTCATCCCCAAACAAATCACTCATGTGCTTTCCTCTTCTGATGAGCAACTTCCCTTGCTCCCACAACTGGGGGGAAGAGGCTCCATCCTCCTCTGCCCAATCCTGATACCATCTAAAGCATCACCATCAATGCAAACTCTGCCCTTCTCCATACCACCAGCACAAACTTACCCCAGTGTGGTCATGGTGACAATGGTGTACCAAAAAGAGGCAGGGATGCTCGTGAACTTGCTGGCAGAGGAGCCCTTCTCAGCATAAAACATCACAGTGGCAAAGATGATGATGGCCATGGTGAGGGAGAAGAGGAGAAAGCCGAGCTCGGAGGCACAGCTCTTCAGGGTGTAGCCCAGGATCCGCAAGCCCTGCGAGTGGCGGGAGAACTTGAAGATCCTGAAGACGCGGAAGACCCGGAGCGTGACGAAGGCGCCGGACACGTCCTCATTGTTGGTCATGACCAGGCCGATGTAATAGGGCATGATGGCCACCACGTCGATGATGCTCATCACGCTGCGGATGAAGCGGTAGCGGCTGGGCGCCGCGAAGAGCCGCAGGAGGTACTCCACCGTGAAGATCATGACGCAGGCGGTGTCCAAGCAAAAGAAGGCCACGGAGTAGCGCTCGCCGCAAGGCAGCTCCTTGCTCCCGGGCACCGTGCCGCAGGGCACCGTCTCCACCACGTTGGTGATGACCGAGACAGCGATGAAGAAGCCAGTCACGTAGTAGAAGACCAAGGCCAGCGTGCTGGTGTGCGGGTTCTCGAAGGCCCGCCACATGGTCTGGCGGAAGCTGAGGGAGGGCATGGACTCCTGGTTGTTCTCCGAGTCGTTGTCGTCCATGAGCCGCTCGGCGTTCTCCCTCTTGCGGTCCTTGTACTCCTCGTAACAGCAGTCTCCAATGATCTCGGGCAGGATGCCGTAGAAAGCCAGCTCGTCATCATAGGCGGAGATGCACTCGTAGCGCGGGTAGTGCAGCTTGCCCGTGCGGTAGAAGTTGAGGACGCAGCGGAACACTTCTGGGTCCCGGTCGAAAAAGTACTCCTTAGTGTCCTCGTTGAAGAAGAACTCCTTCTCCGTGCTGCCCAGCAGCGTGTCCGGGTAGCGCTCCAGCGTGGTCCGCCAGGTCTGGAACCTCCGCCCGCTCACATTGAGGACGATCAGTTCATCCTGCCGCTTGTTCTTGTCCGCCGGGGCCAGGGGCATGGGGCAGTTGGCCACCGGCATCCATCCGATGGCCGCAGCCCGTGCGAAAGGCAGCCAGGCTGCAACTCCGGCCGCCATGGTGACTCCAGCTCTCGGGCGGCCACTGCGCAGCCACTCTGCACACCAGCTTGGAGTTAGTTCAGCGACCCCTGGAGACGGGAGGAGAGAGTGGAGAACCAGTGAGTCCAAGGTGGATTCCCAGGTGGAAAATGAGACACAGGGATGGGTCATTACTAAGTGAAACAAGTCTCCAAGGCAAATTAATGGAACTGAAGTCACGAAAGAGAGGGGATTGTTTTCCCTTCCCTGGCGGGGAGAGCCCCAAGCACCAGGGCAATGCAGCACGTGGGATCACCAGATGTTGCTGACTGCCTGACAAATTGTCAGGTTCCAAGAGGGCTCAGGAGCATTTGGAGGGAAAGCCTCTTTAGCAGAAAGATCTGGGAAGACGTGGGTAATAATCAGCTCTGAAAGGTTATGGCATTATTTACGAATATAAATTGGGAGAGGGTAAATGAGTTCTCATTAAACGAATTTAAAAGTGGGATAAACACGCTAATTTTTATTTCTCTCTTCACCCTCTAGGGTAATCAGGAATGAGGTGTGGATGAGGGAAATCAGGTAAACACATCCTTTCTACTCCTCACTGGTGGGAAGGCTAGGGTTGACCAGGTCTGTAAAATTCTCTGAGATGGCGCATGACCACAGTAAACCCAGGGCTTGGTGAAGCTCTGTCCCCATGTCCCATGGAGAAGGCTGACCCTGGTGGAATGCTACTCTCTGGGACACCTGGCAACCTCACATCTGATCACACCCTCAGAGCCATGATAGAAAGACACAGGAGAGGCTGTAAGGCTAGGGTTCCTCCCCCACCTTGTAAAGGACTCTTGATTCTTGGTTCACCTGTCTTCCATGCATTGTCCCTCTCCCTCCCAGAGGAGGCTGATCCACACTTCTCACCATCTCCAGATTCCTCGCCTCCCATCTCCATCTGCCCACCATCCATAACTCCCTCGGGTTATGTAACAATACTCTTTCCCATGCCAGCCTCTTTCACCTGGCCTCACTCCACCCTCAGAGATTCCTCCAGAGTTCGGCTACCTTGGCACCCTTCACCCACAGCTCTCTCAACCACACTGTGTGTGCACTTTCCATCACCTGCATGGATGGAAGGAACAATGGCCTGGAGAATTATATTTGGTTTTGGGAAACAGATTTACCTTCCCAAATCTGGCTTTTTAAAGACGATAGTGAAATGACTCTGCAGTCCCCAAATGTACACCATCTGTGGGGAGACAGGTGGTGACACAGAAACACACGTAACAGCAACGGGAAATTGTTTGGGGTTGATACACTCATTTTCACAAAGCCTAAACTGATCATGCAGAACCAATCCTGACTCAGAGTTACTTGGACTCTCTGGAATTCCATTGGTTTAAATAAATGAGCCAGAGGTGAATCTTGCCGTGGGATTGGATCGTCACCTTCCCTTGTAAACTTGCTTCCTTCGCCTGACCCCCAACTCTTTTGAAGTCTTCCAGATCTTGGCCTCCTCTCACTCCTGGGCCACAGTGGGCTTTCCCACCTGGATGCCTCTGAAACTGGATAGGTTTAAGCCGAGTCTACCTCCTTGCAAAGAGCTGCTCTCTACTGTTTGCTCATGGCATCCCTAACCCCGGGCCTGTTGCCTTGGCCGTCATCCTCAGTGCAACCCAGAGAGTTGCCGAATAGTGAGACAGTAGCTCTACTGCCCTCATTAAGGCCCCACTTCCCCCAGGCGGCCTCTCTACTGCCCTGTTTGTCTCTCATCTCCCCCACCCCAACCCCTGTTTCTCCTCTTCCCAATAAATCCATTCTGCTCAGAGTAATCTCCCTAAAACAAGATTTTCCCACAGTCTACAAAATCTAGTGCAAAATCTTTGGCCCAGTATTCTGGCATTTCTACAAACGGATCCTGGCTTATTCCCGACCGGTGTCCCATGTGCCCAGCCTAGTCCACAGACCAGCTCACATGCTTGGGTTGGGGCGGGGGGGGGGTCTGTCTGCGGGCACTCTTCATTCTGTTGGGGATACTCCTCCCCTTCACCCAGCCCTCCTCTCAGAATCCCTTCTGCTCCTCGTCCTCTCTGTGATGCACCCCCCTCCCCACGCTAAATTCTCTCCTCCTTTGGGCTCTCAGTGCTTTGTTGGCCCCTCTTCTCTAGTGACAGGACACTTTCCACGTGTCTTATTAATAATCTCGGCCCACAGTAATTGAGCGCTTACTCTGTGCCAGGCACTGCACTGATTGTCTCCTGGGGATCATCTCATGTCATCCTCACGGCAACCCTAGGAAGAAGTCTGAAATTCAACAACCTGCCAGCTGGCAAGGGCCAGAACAGGGATCCCCCCAACCCTAGGTGGTCTGACTCTTACACCACCTGCCCTGAGGCACCGTGCTCCACTGCTTCTCACGGGCTTCCTGCAAGAAGAGTAGCAGCTGATGTTGCTGATGAGAGACAAGCAGGCTCAGTACCACATTCTTACGTGGACCACCTCAATCGACCCCACCTGCAAACCTAGGGCACAGAACGCCCCACCCCCACCTTGCAGATGAGGAAGATGAAGCCTGAGGCAGTATAACTGGCTAAAGGATGTCATAAGTAGGCAGAGAGATTTAAATACAGGCAGTCTCAATGTGGAGTTCAAGGGTACAGCCAGGTCTCTTCCCTGCTTTCCATCCCACCCTAAACTCCTTAAGAATAAAGGCCATGATGCCTTAATTTTTATATAACAACTCAGGAGGCAGCACAGGGCACTGCATCAGTAGATGCCCAACCTCCTGATGGTAGGCGGGAACCCGGATTTTACAGATGTCCTTTGCAGTCCCTTGATTTTACACCACGCCTTGCCTTCCAGGGGTTTTCAAGGGTAGGCTTTTTCTCTCCACACACTCAGTAAACACAGAAGACAGATCTGAATCAAAAGAACCCAGTTTAAGTGCTTCTGACTCACTGTGGCTCTCTGGTGAGTTTTCCCAAGGAGCCAATCTCTGCCTCAGTTTCCCATCCATATGCTAAGGAGTGTATTCTGAGGCTCCTCTGCCGTAAAGGGAGCTTGATTCAGGTGCCACAGGGGACATCAGGAATGACGATGACATTCCTTGTAAATGTCAGCACTCAAAGAACAGAAAAACAGTGCGGGCTGATGAGCTCTTGATTACGGGAACCAAGGAAAGAACTGGGGAGTCTTTCATCCATGGCAGCATGCTGCTGACAGATTTGGGAACACATCCCGTGCATTTTATACCTCTCTTCAAGAAATTTCCCCTTATAATTCCCTATATTTCCTTTAGGTTACTAGGAGAATTTGTAGTCCCTTAACACACACATAGCTAGGTTTTCTAAAGAGCAAGGGAAGTTTGGGGGGCACAAGCTCACAATTTAAACATTGGTCACAAGATAATTCCAATTCAGATTTAGTTAACATTTATTGAGCACTGACCATGCAGTGGGCACTGTTTTAAGCACTTTTATAGCAACAATTAATTCCATGAAAGTCCTATGACATGGACATTTATGCTGACAAGGTTCAAGAAGGGAGCTGAGACTCCTTCAAAGCGACTATGTTCCATGTATAAAGGAGCTGATGATTTTCCAATAGGCCACTGATCAGCTCACTGCCAAATGCCTCTCCTGACCTAGGTGTAGCGAGATACTGATATTTCCATAGAAGAGAGCAAGATGCAGAGTCTCCACTCGCCCCGTCCCCAGGCAGCAGAAAGCATAGGGTCCGGAGGCCCTGCCCTTCTAATTCCACTTCTTTCCTGAACTTGTGAAAGCAAGCTCCTATTCCCCCCTGAGCCTCATAAGAGAGCCCGGGACAAGAAAGTGACTAGGAGACTTTTAGCTCAAATAAGCTTTGATTCTGCTGGATCCAGGACATGTAGCTCAGGTCTCACTGAAACCTCTTCATGACAGTCGCCCATGCTAAGCAGGAAGTAGAGCATCTGGGTTTGTTGCTGTGGGGATGGAGTTTGTCTGAGCCTCGTTTTAGCAAAGGCAGTTCTGGGAATTCCTGATGAGGTTGGTGCCCAGAAAAGGGCACACAACATGCATCACTCCGAATTCAAGGCAGCCCAAGGCCAGATTCATCCATTGAACCCCTGGCCACCCCCCTGGAGGGTAAAGGGGGCCAGGCTCCAGATTCTGGGCCCTGGACCTCTGACTCTTAACATTCCTGCCTTATTCCAGAATGGAGCTCAGAGAGGCAGGACCTTGAGGGGGTTCCAGTTGCAAAGAGTAAGAGACGACAGAGCCAGGAGGTACCCTGTAGCACCCTGCTTGGGCCACATATACAGCTGTGCACTCCGAGACGATAGTGCCCTTCCACTTCCATTCTCCCAGTGCTGTTTCACCCTGACCCCAGAGCTTCAGTGCCCGGTACCTTCCCCTACCAAGCTGAGCCCCATCACCTTACAGTCTCCACCCCACGCCAGTCTCCTCTTCTCCGACGGCAATGGTATTTTACAAACTGCTTTCAGATGAATATTTGAGAGCTGGGGAAGGAAGAGTAACCTCTTTCCCATCTATCACAAAAGTCTCTGGTTCCAAGGCCAAACCTTCACCCTATGTATTAATCCAGGACAATCTTCCCTGAGAAGGCCAGGCAAGGGCCAGGCTGTCTTCAGAGCTTCAAGCCCTGTTCCCCTAGTAAAAGGTACCAGCAAAGGAGCAATTATCCCACTGCTACTTTCTCTGTCTTGTGTGTGTGTGTATGTGTGTCTGAGTATGGAAGAGGAAGAAAAGTGTCCCACGAGATACTATGCCCAAGGCCACACCAGCCATAGGGTCCACACAAGCCTGCAGGCATGACGCAGCTCAAGCGGGGCTTCTCCAAGGCTCTCACCGCAGCGCTCACCCCCTGACGGGCACCAACACCTCCTGGAGCCGACCTGGGTCTGAATTCCTGCAACAGGCACAACAGTGCGGCCCCATTTCCAGCCAATGGCACTGCACAGGCCTCAAATGCCAAGGTTTTACTAGGACGTGGACGCCTTACAAACGAAAAATCTGAAGCTATTTTTGTTTTTGGCAGAAGAGTTTGACAGTGGGAAAGATAGAGGTGGGGGGAGGATGGGGAAGAGACATTTAAAACAGGTGAGTGCTGA